ATGGTCTTACACACCTTTAATCCCAGCACTTGGGAGGCAGAGGCAGGCAGATCTCTGTGAGTTCAAGGCCAGCCTGGTCTACATAGTGAGTTCCAGGACAGCTGGGGCTACAGCGAGACCCTGTCTCAAAAAGACCAGCAGATCAGGAAGGCTGTGGAGGGAAGGTTTATCCTCCTCTGGGTACCACTGAGAATAGGTAAAGCTTAGTTTTCCCTGGGAGTAGCAGGTGCTGGTGTAAAACTCCCTCCTCAGAGGTATTCCACTGAGTACAGGAAAGCAGGGTACTACACTGCAGTCAGTGGCGAGGGCTGCCTCCAGGGGTCTCAGTTCTCTGGCTCTTCAGACTTGCAAAGCAGGTCTCAGAAGCCAGGCAAATCCCTTTGGCATAGCAGCACAGATGCCAACATTTGAAAGTGGAGTTGGTCTGCTGATGTGGCAAGCGATGCAGAGCTAAGGCATCTGCTCAACTCTTCCTAGCTCTTTGTGGGGCTTCCATTCTCCAGCTGTCAAAGAGTTGGGGCTGGGGGTAATGACCCTCTCATAGGGTTGCACCTCATAAAGAGTAAAGATGCTCCCAGCCTGAGAGCTGGCATGTCTAGGAACATTGCTTCTTTTGCTCTATGGTTAGAGCTGGCCACTCTGAGAGGGCTGTCTGTAGACTGTCCTGAACTGGAGCCCCTCTTACCACTGGATCATTCTGCTTCCCTCATGCAGTGACTTTGGGTTGTTCCCTGAAAGCTGGGAGTGTAGACAGAAGACAAGGTAGAATGGAGGAGGGGCAGACCAACCAGATCAGCTCTTGGGGAGTAAGGAGTAGGGTGCATGCACTGACCTGACCAGGTATTACCACATTGCTGGAGACCAGCACATGGAGTCCGTTGGTCTAAGGACAGAACCTGAGGAGAAGCATAGAATCCAGAGGGAAGCTCTTCAGCAAAGAGCAAGTCCTTAGGGAGTGGAGAGGCAGGATCAGAGAACATCCCTCATTTACATAAAGCAAGTGGTCTCATCATTTAAAGACATCTAACTGATACTCTTTCTCAGATTGTCTAAATCACACTTGAATATGGAGGGTCACAAAAATTTGGCAACAATAAAAGATTTCTGAGTATGTGCAGCAACTGAAAATTAATTCAAAATCAAACACACAATGAATCTGAGGTGTTTTGATTTTTATACCTGTTTCATACACCTATAAACATTTCTCAGGTGAAAAGGGGCTGCACATGGGAGAAGTCTGAGAAGCCCAAATGTAAATAGGAGGCTTAGCACCAGGAGCCACTGGCCTCTCTCATTTATCGCTGGTGGAACAGTCACCCTCTTACTTTGTAGTCAATGGTTGGACTTCTTTACACCCAGAGTAATTATGCTTTATTGAAATTGTGATAAACAATTTCAATGATAAATGTGATAAACAAGTAGCATTGGTCATCTTAACCATGTTAAGTCTTCCAGTAAATCATGTGAAGTGCCTTCAACACTGTTCTTCAACATGTCAGCAGAACTTCATCTTGCAAATCTGAAACTGTGCCCACTAAACAACAGGTCTCCATTCCCTCTGGCACTCATCTGGCTTTGACCACTGCAACTGTGTCATATAAGATACAATTTATAGCATTTGCCTTTGTGTGACTAGCTTATTTCACTTAGCATAATGTTCTCAAGATTTATCTCTGAATGTGTAGCATGTGTCAGAATCTTCTTCCTTATTAAGGCATATAATATTGTATTGCATGAATATATCATATTTTTTCATTCATCTATTGCTCTGCCACTTGGCTGTAGGGAATATCCAGAGCAATTTTTTTTAAATCCATCTCTTTTCCTTTTCTTCCTCCACCTCCTTCTTCTTCCTCTTCCTCTTCTTCCTCCTCCTCCCCCTCTTCTCCTCCTCCTCCTCCTCCTTCTTTTTGAGACAGGACTTCATATAGCTAGGACTGGTCTCTGTGTTAGTTATTTTTCTGTTGCTGGGATAAAACACTTATGACTGAGGCAACTTACAAAAGAGTTTATTTTGGCTTATTATTTCAGAGGGCGCGTCCACAATGGCAGGGAGGCATGGCAGCCAAAGCAGAAAGCTGAGAGCTCACACCTTCATGTACTTGTAGGAAGCAGAGAGGAACTGACTGTGGGGCAAGGCTGTGAATTCTCAAGCCTGCCCCCAGGGACATGCTTCCTCCAGCAAGGCCACACCTCCTGAAGGTTCCATGACCTTCCCCAAACAGCACCACCAATTGAACAAATGCTCAGATGTATCAAACGTACATGAACATTCTCATTCAAATAACCATTTTCCACTTCCTGTGCCCTGTAGACTCATGGCCATATCATAATACAAAATGTATTTAACCCAGTTTTAAAAGCTCTGATAGTTTTTAGCAGTCTCAATATTGTTCAAAAGCCAAGAGTTTTTTGAGACTTAAGGCAGTCTTGTAATACCCTTTGTAAAATAAAAAAGCAAATTATATATTTCTAACATACAATAGCACAGAATATACATTCCCATCCCAAAAGGGAGGAATGGGGGCATAGTGAGGAAATACTGAACGAACCAAAACAAGACTGGAACACAGGTGGGCAAACACTAAATCCTGTCTGGGACATGAATTCCAAAGGACTTGGATGGATCAGCCCCTCCAGCAGTGCTCCCTATAACATACGTCTCTCTTGTGGACTCGGTCTGCTCCCTTTATGCAGCTCTCTTTGGCAGATGTCTCAGGTTATAATATCTCTAATATCTTGGGGTCTCCACCACAACCCAGGCTTCACTTTCACAGCTTCACGAAGTGGCCTCTCAAGACCTCCATGCAGTGACTCCCCTGCCATTTTCTGCCTGGCCTCAGCAGCTCACTGAATTTGCGGAGGACTGATCCACAACCCCTTTACTCTTGCATCTTTCATGCCTCCAAAGCCAGTACCATGTGAACAACTCTGCCTCTGCCAGGTTTGGCTGCCAGCTTGGGATGGACCCTTGTCCCCTTGAATAGCATTTGCAGCAGCTTTGGAATGTTGTGGTTTTCTAAGAAGGGAAAACTCCTTAGTCTTTCTCCTTTCACAAGTTGGAGGCTTAGGTGGGTGGTGTCTTGACCAAAGGGCACCCTTTTCATTGTTGCAGTGCAGAGTGTTAGACCTGAGACCTCTCCTTATGACTCTAGTATCAGCACTTACAGTCTCTTTTCCTGCATAGGCCTTGGCTGCAACATTAAGCTCCCTAGTGCTTTTCCTCCATACTCTACATTTTGTATTTCTTTCTGCCCCACTTGCTCTTTTTCTTCATAGACCTGCTTAAGTGTCACCATTAATAACCACAGATTCAATGTTAGGCTCTCTTAAAGTTTTCACTACCAAAGAAATAAGTCCGTCACTTTTTAATTTAGCCTCAAGCAAGTTCTGAGGACAGGGGCTGAAGGCTGCCAGATTCTTATCAAAATAACACAGGAATGGCCCAGTTGGTATTTAAGTCCTTGCTTCCTTTTTCCCTCTGAAACATCTTGAGCCAGGCCTACAGTCCAGGCCTCTACTAGAAGGGCCCATTAAGCTCTGCTTACAGCATTCAGTGGCTTTTCTAGTTCAGACTTCAGGTCTTCTACATGCCTCCAAAAAACAACATGGTCAGGTTCTTCACAACAACAGCCTATTCCCTGGTACCAACTTCTACAGTAGTTACTTTTCTGTTGCTGTTATAAAACACTGTGACCAAGGCAACTTATACAAGAGCTTATTTTAGCTTATGGTTCCAGAGGGAGAATCCATAATGGTGGGGAAGCATGGTAGGAGGCAGCCAGAGCAGAAAGCCAAGAGCCCACATCTTCACATACATGCAGAAAACAAAGAGAGTAACCTGATGTGGGACAAGGCTGTGACCTCTCAAAGCCTTCTTCCAGTGACATGCTTTCTTCAGAAGTCCATACCTCCTAAAGGTTCTATGATCCTCCCCAGACAGTGCCACCAACTGACCAAGTGTTCAAATATGTGAGCTTATAGGGAACACTCTCATTCAAACCACCATAGCCTTAAGCTCGCTATGCATGTTAGGATTACAGACATGAATCATGCCTACTTTTTGTTTCTTTTTGAAGCAGAATTTTACTCTTTACTCCAGACTGGCCTTCAACTTGTAGCAATCCTACTTCAGTCTGTGGAATGCTTGATCATAGGTATAAGCCAGTTTGAACCACCATGCCAATTGGCTGATTGATTAATTGGTTGGTTGACTAATTGATTGACTGAGGTAGGGTCTCAGTATGTAGCCCAGGCTGGGCTACATGTTGAATTTGCAGTCCTCTTGCCTCAGCTTTTGGGAGCTGAGATTATAGGCGTGTGCTACTATGTCTAGCATTTCCTTTTCTTTTTTTTCACATCTGCTATTGGAGATGGAACTCAGGGCCTTGCTCATGTTAGGTCAGTGCTTTACCACTGAGCTACACCCCCAGCTCCTTGAGTAGTTTTTATACCCACCTTTGAAATGCTATGGGGAAGGTTCTTGTGGTTACACTGCCATCCCTGTTACCTTGTCGTCACTAGCAGTGACACTGGGGAGGGATTCTGATTCTTTTGGCTTCTTCTCTGCCATATCCAGGCCACTCACTGTGTTGAATCTTGTAATTTGTTTTCTATGGATTCAACTTAATGATTTGAAATTCAGAGTCAGCCTTAACTGAAGTGGCTGAGAAAAGAAAGTTTACCCCGATTGAAACAGATCTCTCTTTCCTCTATGTCTTCTTAAGGTCTTCAATGCAAATCCATATTCTCCTAGAGGAGAGTAAAGAAATGTGTGCTGTTAGTATATAATGATTTTTTTTTTTTTTTGTCTTTTTAAGGCAGAGTCTCCCTGTAGCCTCAGCTGGCCTGGAACTCACTATGTAGATCAGGCTGGCCTTGAACTCAGAGATCTGCCTGCCTCTGCCTTCTAAGAGCTGGGACTAAAGGCGTGCACCACCACATCTGGCTTTGACTTCTGATTTGTATATTTCAGAGACACAAGGAAACCTGTTGTTGCATTGTCTGCTGTAGGTAAGTGTGAATACCACCTGGCATGCCTTCATTCTGTCCCTTCCCATTCCTTCTCATGACCACCCGTGGCCCAAGCTTCACCATGGCTGGGAAGAACTCTGAGTCCCACATTGCAAGATGCTTGCTTCAGACTGTGTCCTAACCCTAACCCTGACCCTGGGTTATCAGCTATCTTGTTCTCATCCTTAGCACCAGAGATCGTCAGCACACATCCAGTCCTTCTAAATATTTTATTTTTATTTATGTGTGTGTGTCTTTATATGTGTACAGAGGCCAAATTAGGGCATCTGATCTCCTGCAACTGGAGTTAAAGGTGGTTATGAGCCCCCTGACATGTATTTTTGGAACCAAACTCTGGTTGGAAGAGCAGCAAGTTCTCCTAACCACTGACCCATCTCTCTAGCACATCCAATCTTGTTTTTCTTTTTTCACCTCCACCCATTGTCCCATCCACCACCCTCATCCCCTTTGTGATCTTTGAAGAAATACCTGGATATTATACTACTTCAATTTTATTATGTATTTTATTATGTATTTACTTTCTCCCTCTCCCTTTCTCTCCCTCTCCCTCCCTCTCACTCTCTCTCTTCCTCTCTCTCCCTCTCCCTCCCTCTCCTTCTTCCTCTCTCTCCCTCTCTCTCCTTTCCCTCTCCCTCCCTCTCCCTCTCCCTTTCTCTCCCTCTCTCTCCCTCTCTCCCTCTCTCTCCCTCTCTCTCTCTCCCTTCCTCTCTCTCTCTCTCTCTCTCTCTCTCTCCCCCCTCTGTCCCTGAGGGCTGGAGAGATGGTCAAGTACTTGCTTAAACAGCCACCTGAATTTGATCCCCAGAACCCATGTAATATGCATGGTGTGGTGGTATGTGCTTATAATCCCAGATCAGGGAGATGGAGACAGGAGGAATCCCTGGGGCTCACTGGTGGGCAAGACTAGCCTAATTGGTGAGCTCCAGGCCAATGAGAGACATGTCTCAAAGGAAGTGGACAGCATCCCTGAGGATGATATCTGAGCCTGCATACACTCAGGTGCACACACAGAATTTCTGAAAAAGTGATCATGATACTATTGACATACCAGTAACCTAAAATGATTAATAATGACTCTTTAGTATTATCAAATATTCAAAAGTATTCAGATTTCTCCAGTAGTGCGCCTGTCTGTGTCTCTCTCTAACATATAAGGCATTTTGTGTGTGTGTGTGTGTGTGTGTGTGTGTGTGTGTGTATGTGGTGTTGGTGATCAAACCTAGGGCTTCATGCATACTAAGCATGTGCTGTCCACTGGTGGAACTTCCCTCCAGCCCATCTCTCTTCTCCCCTTCGTCGTTATTGAGGTAGTTGTTGTCCTCCTCCTCCTCTTTTATCTCCCCCTCCTCCTCCCCCTCTTCTACCTCCTCCTCCTCCTGTCCCACCACCTCCTCTTCTTCCTCTGTCTCTTCCTTTTTTCCCTCCTCTCTCTCTTCCTGTTCTCCTTCCTCCTCCTGTTCTCCTTCCTCCTCCCTTTTCTTCTCTTCTTCATCCTCCTTCTTGGCCTCCTCTTCTAAAAATAGGGACAGAATTGAAGGAAAGCCCAAACCTGCAACTAGCTGATGCCTTTCTTTTTTTTTCTTGTTGGTGGATAGCCTCTTCCTCTCCTTTTTGAGATGATTGTTTTTCCTTTCTGGCAATTAATGTTTTGGATTGTCTTACAGTTTCTCCTCAGTCTAGATTCTGCTGATTGCATTCTGCCTCCCGCCCAGTGTCATTTAACCCAGACAAACTGATTTGTAGAAGTTTCCAATGTGCCTCATTTTTTTTCTTTTTTGCTTAGTTGGAATCAGCTGGTTTTGGAATTTTCGGTTGAGGCTGTTGGGGAGTACTCCCACCCCTTCCTTCGGGTAGAGCACAGGTGTTGAGGTGCTGTGACTTGACAATGCTCAAGTTATTTTGGAGTTAGTACTCTGGAACCCTTAACAAAAATCCGTTTTCTGTCTCCTAAGTTGTATTCCTTTGTGTCTTGATATATGCAAATATAAAATGATTACATGATTTGTTTACACTCTGTACCACATTATATAGACATTTAGTATCATGATTGCATTTAGAAGCTTTCTAGCAGATTTGTGAAACTATATATGATACAGATGGGCACACACACATACACGCAATAGGAGATTAAACACCATGTTTATTATGTTTCCTAATGTCACAGTGCTTATGTCCTGCACTAGAGGCAGTTATATCTGATGCAAGGATATACTCTATAAATACTTGTTCTACAGATCAAGGAATCAAATGCCTGTGTTTCAGTACCAAGTGTTCAGTGTCTCAGTGGCTGATCTAGTCCTCTACATTAGGGGCTTATGATCTGAGCCAGACTTGCTGCTGAGGACATATACCTGAATAAAAATGCATGTGATCTGTAAATGCTTAACTCATATTTGTTTGAGTTTGTTGCAAGATTGAAAGATTTATTGTAAAGCAATCCTAAAAACAAGGATGATGATTCTTTCTTCAGCCTACTTTTTGTTTGTTTGTTTGTTTGTTTGTTTGAAACAGGGTTTCATGTGGCCCAGGCTACCCTCAAATTGTACGTAACTAAAGATGACCGTGAACTCCTCCTAATCCTCCTGTCTCCACCTCCTAAGTATTGGAGTGCCGGAGTCAAACCTAGGGCTTCATGCAAGCTAGGCCAGCACTCTGCCACATCCTCAGCCTGGGTCTGCTTGTTATAATGGCTTTCTTTTCTAATACAGGTTTTTCTAAAAAATAGAGATAAGGACAGTTCTTTTTGCACTTTGCTGAGGGTTTTTAGTGGTGCCACAATACCCTGGAAGGAAAAGAGGCAAAGTGAGAGGCTAGTGGGCCTTCATAAGGGGCTGCTTAAACTAACATTGCCAAGGGGTGTAGCTGAGGATGCTGCTTTCTCTGCAGTGTCAGTGCTCTGCATCTGCCAGTGAGCCATTGCTTATCTCTTTTGGAGAGTACATCATTAAAAACACATTTGTGTATACTCCAGAGAGCTCACTGCATAGAGGTCTCTCAGCCTGGAGCCTTTCTTTGACTGTGGTGTCACAAGCCTAGTAAAGCAGGGTTTATTGGAGGCTCTCAGCTTGTTTTGGGAGCCCTGTGATGTGAGGTCATCACACTGGGCAAGAAGAGTTCACTTGGAACTCTTCTAGTAATTGTCAGAAGGAAACAGAACAGGCTCTGCATACTCCTTGTCCACCAGCTAAGGTCCTTTCTTGCAAAGAAGCTGAGTCTCTCAACTAGTACACAACCTTGATTCATCTTACTGATCTCCAGCTTAAGATGCCCTGTGTCTCAAGAAAAAAACAAGACAAATTCAAATTGAGAGTATAGAGATTCAGGGGGTTTGGATAATAGGTACCAAAATATCAGAATAAGTTCTAGTGTTCTACAGTACAGCAGGGTGACTATAGCTTACAATAATTTGATATATATATATTTGTCTTTTTGAGAGAGGGTCTCCCTGTGGCCTAGCTGGCCTGGAGCTCACTATTTAGACCAGGCTGGTCTTGAACTCACAGAGATCCACCTGCTTCTGCCTCCTGAGTGCTGGGATTCAAGGTGTATGCCACCATGCCCAGCTTGTTATGTATTTTATAAAGAACTAGAAAACAAACATTTGAAGATTTCCAGCATAAAGCCAAGTGTGGCTTATAATTCCAGCACTCTTGAGAGACTGAGGCAAAAAGTGGGTTTGAGGCCAGCCTGCGCTATATATAGAGAATTCTAGGTCAGCCATGGTTATATAGTGTTTAAAAAACAAAACAAAACCAAAAAGGGAAGGAAAGCATGAAGGGAGGGATGGAGGGAGGTAAGGGAGTCAGCTCCCAATAGAAAAACACAAAGATTTGATCATTATATGTTGTATACAAGTGTTAAATTATCACATTGCACTTACAAATAATTCAAAGAAAATTTAAAATAAAGTATTTCTTCAGTGAAGGAAAAAGGGGTGTTGGGGGGTGTTGCCAAAAGCTGAATCAAGTGAGCACCCTCACTAAACCCAGCACAGCATATCTTTGGACAAGGACAGGTCCTAGACTTTAACCGTATTCCCTGTTATAATCCTTACTATGTCATGTCTAAACGTGTTGAGTCAGGTTACTCTCAGAACTCTTCCTCTACTGTGGGTCTCCTCAGCAGTGAACACTCAGTCAAAGGGAAAGGCCACAGAGCAATATCATGTGTCCTGCAGGCAAGGACAGGGAGAGCAGGAAGGACAGCCAGCAGTTTGGTGCTGGTTTCACTTGATTAATGTGATTGATTTCTTTCTTTTTTTGGAGATAGGGTCTTCTGTAATCCAGTCCTACCTTGAACTTCTTTTTTACGTGTGTGTGTGTGTGTGTGTGTGTGTGTGTGTGTGTGTAATCACGTGAGTGCCAGAGCACCCATGTAGAGTTCAGAGGACAATTTGTAGGAGTTAGTTCTCTTCCTTCCACCTGTGGCTTCTGAGGATTGAACTCAGGTTGTCAGGCTTGGTGACCCTGACCTTGAACTTCTGATCCTTCTGCCTCCATCTCTCAAATGCTTGGATTATACAAAAATACCCCAATAAGCACCTTGTTTTTGCTCTACTGGGGATCAATCCCAGGGCTTTCTGCATGCTAGGCAAGCACCCTACCATCTGAGCTATACCCCTGGCCCAACTTGACTGATTTGTTGTCAGATAGAAGTGCCATTGTGTCTCAGTTTCTGCGTGCCTCAGCTTTTTCTGGGGTGTCCCATTATGCCTCCTTTTTTATTATTTTATTTTGTATGTATGAGTGTGTTGCCTGTGTGTATATAAGTACACCTGTGTCATGCTATGCTCACAGAGGTCAGAAAAAGGCGTTGGTTGCCCTGGAACTGGAGTTACAGACAGTTGTTATCTGACATATGGGTGCTGGGAACTGAACCTGGGTTCTCTGCAAGAGCAGCCAGTGCTCTTTTAAAAAAAATTTATTATTTTTATTTTATGTGTAGCAACCAGTGCTCCTAACCGTTGAGCAGTCTCTCCAGCTCCTCGCCTCTGTAGGTAGTTCTCTTGCCACTACTTTTGCCTTTCTGGACTGGCACAGAGGGAAAAGGACCAAATTCACATTGTCCTGACTCCATGAAACGGTACTTGTGGCCAGTGGCCAGTGCTGTTGGGGAAATGAGAGTCGGGAGGGGTGTACAGAACTTTGAGAGAAGAACTAGTCCAAACAGGCAGATTCTTCAATTGAGGGAGTGTTTTCCCAAGGCTGTTCCTTAAAGACAGCGATGACAAAAAAGGGGGATGGAGTCCCTGTGACAGCTGCGGATCTTCTGGTGTCTCTGGGGCATCAGATTTTGTGACAAGTCAATTACCAGAGGCTGTTAACTACTGACTCCTGCTCCCGTAAGAAGCTCCATTTTCCTGCTGATGGTGCGTAGAATAACCTGTGGATTTTTTCTCCAGAGATTATTTCCTCCTCAGTAGGTAACTGTGATCCTGTTTCCATGTGTTAATTCACTTGTTTGCGGCTTTGTTTTATCTGTGCTAGTAGAAGGATTCTGTGCTTATTAGACTGGAGTTCATTATCCAGCGCCCCTGGACATGCATCACCGTCCTTCAGAAAGCACAGAGAACAGTAGCTGCCTGCCCCTCTTTTTTTCTTTGTAGCTGGAGCTTCCCAGGTCAAATGGAATAAAAAAAATGCTAACTACCTCGCCACCAGCCATGATGGAGATGTGCGGATATGGGATAAGCGGGTGAGTGACCTTTTCCTCTCTGTGGTTGGTCTTCAGTCCCTCCCAAAGAGTGTGAATATGAATTTATGACTGTGCTTACGGAAATGAGCTTGGCCCAACCTAAGCTAGAGCCCCATTTTGCTGCTCATTAGGATACCAGGTAAGCCACTATGATGTCTCTTAGTCTTCCTGTCCTTAAGCCTTTGGCCCTTTGAGCCCCGACACTGCTAGAGAATGGTCAGCGTGTTTCTTGCTCCTGCCTCTGTTTGCAGAATGAAAACGCATTGTTCCTGGGCCATATCCTTCTTAGTATAGATCACAGAGGCAGAGGACTCATTGTCTCACGCTCTCTTTAGCAGTTTAGGCATTCTATCAGCCTCAAAATAGTGTCAGTATATTCCCACTGCAGCAGCCTATGCACCACTAAGCATGAAAAGGCTGCCAGGGCCTGTGTGTAATGGGAAGATCATTGGAAGTTTGTTGTGTTGGCCTTAGTGAGAATATGATGAAGGGGGAGGGCTTCCCCTGCATCCTGCTGCTGATGGGTAGTTGGGTAATGGGTAGAGCACTCAGCTTTGTGAGATCTGGGGTATAACTACTATTTCCTGCTTTGTGAAACCTGAGGCTGGTGATGAGGCGGGCTTCTTCACAGATGTCCCCACCTAGGTGTTGACAGTAAAGTTCTGACTGGAGAGAACATTGTTCACATTTGACAGAGAAGAGAGACATGAAGCAGATTGGGGTTACTAGCCCTGTCTGCTGGCCTAGGCTCCAAAACCTGCTGGAAGGTATCTCACAGTGTGCTGGCTGAAGCCCTTGCCTGTGCGCCCTCTTAGGAGAGAAGTCAGTTTTGCAGAATTAGAGTGGTGTGTCTTCTGTGTGTCACTGTCTTCTGTACCTTTCGTCTAGTGTAGGAATAGCCATCTTCCCCCTCCTTTTTTAACTTAATTTTTATTTTATGTGTATGAGTGTTTACTTGCATGTATGTAAGTGCACCACAGGTCTGCAATGCTCAAGGAGGTCAGAAGAAGGTGTCGAATCCCCTGGAACTGGAGTTGCAGATAGTTGTTAGCTGCCATGTGGATACTGGGAATTGAACCCAAGTTCTTAGCAAGAACAGCAAGTGTTCTTAATTGCTGAAACATGTCTCCAGTCTTTTTTAAAAAAACTTTATTCAATTGCTGATTGGTTTTATTCAGTTTGTCCCACTTCATTGTGAGTAAGTGCTTTAAATAAGGCTGGGTGTGGTGCATATGCCTGAAATCCTAGTATTGGGGAGAGGATTATAAATTCGAATAGTTATAGTATAACTGATTCAGTCTGCTCATTCCCCACTGACGATACAAGCTGCTTCTGATCTTCTAGTGTTCCAAATAACATTGAAGTGTAATTTGTTTTATATCTAAAGGTTTTATTGAATTTAGATTACCCCCTTAAAAAATGAAAATTTGGGGTTGGAGAGATGGCTCAGTGGTGAAGAGCACCAGTTACTCTTGTAAAGAACCTGGGTTTAGTTCCCAGCACTCACATGATAGTGAGTCCGTAACTCCAGTTCCAAGGGATCCAACACCCTCTTCTGACCTCCATGGGTATTGTACAACATGGGTGCACTTACATGCAGGCAGTATACTCATACACATAAAAATAATAAATTTTAAAAAATGAAAATGTGGGCCAGGCATGGTGGTACATGCCTTTAATCCCAGCACTCGGGAGGCAGAGGCAGACACATCTCTGTAAGCTTGAAGCCAGCATGGTCTATGTAGTGAGTTCCAGGCCATCTGGGGCTACAGGGAGTTCTGTCTAAAAAAAACTATATTTTACATTTTAAAATTTATTTGTGTTTGTGTGTGTGTGTGTGTGTGTGTGTTCCTTGGTAATCATGTGAGGCAGCCCAAGGGCAGTTTGCCTGTGGGACTCAGTTCTCTCCTATCATGTGGGACCTGGGAATTTAACTCAGGTCATCAGGTTTGACAGGAAGTGCCTTAGTCATCTTTAAAAAAAAAAAAACTTTAAAAAAATTTTAAGTACATGAGTGTTTTACCTGTTTGAATGTAGGTTCTCCACGTGTGTACAGTGCCCATAGAGGTTAGAAGAGGGTGTTGGTCCCCTGGAACTGTAATTATGGATACTTGTTAGCCACCATGTATGTGCTGGGAACTGAACCCAGATCCTCTGCAAGAGCAGCCAGTGCTCTTAACCACTGAGCCATCTCTCCAGCCCCTGCCTTAGTTATCTTACCAACCCAAATTTTAAGTTTCTTAATGAACTTCAAAAAAAATTTCCCCCAAAGATTTGCATTCAATAGGTACTCCAGGAGTGACTAATATAGCTTCAATTTCATTAAGTATTATTTGTGAACATCTTCTAATTTGATCTTTTAAAAAAAAAATTCGTGGGGCTGGAGAGATGGCTCAGTGGTTAAGAACCCTGGTTGTTCCTGCAGAAGACCCAGGTTTGAATCTCAACACCCACATGGTGGCTAACAATCATCCCTAACTCCACTTCCAGGGGATCCTATACCATCTTCTGACCTCTTTGGGCATTGCATGACATGGGTGTACTTACAGACGTGCAGACACACTCATTAAAATAAAAATAAATAAATCAAAAAAATTTTTAAATCTTGCTTTAATGTATATTTTTGAGGTTTCCTTCTGAGCGCGTTGATTAATTAATTTTTGTGGTGTTGAAGATTGAATCCAGGGTCTCATGCATGTTAGGCAAGCACCTTACCACTGAGTCATGACTGGAGAGAGAGAGAGAGAGAGAGAGAGAGAGAGAGAGAGAGAAAACCTGTTAGTTTTCTTTGAGGATCTTAGTGGTCAGTCAGATGTGTGGTTTTGCCCTCATGATTACGTTGAGTCACTTTGAGTATCACCACCCTTCTTGTGCTGTTATCAAGATGGGGAGCAGGAATGGCCCCCTGTGAAAGGGTCAAAAACAGCCACTACCTCTATTTCTTGTTAAATTATGCATCAGGTCGGAGTGGGTAGAAGTCAGGCTGCCAGGGCTCCTTGTAGAACATGTGAAGGGAAACCAGGTAAGTCTTCTGTTGTTGGTTTGTTTAACCTAAAAAAGAGAATTTATGAAGGGTAGAGACAGTATCTATACTGGTAGTGTTTTGTCTCTCCCTCAGCACCCAGCAGACTGTTTTGTGGCAGGCATTGAATGAGTTCTTTCTAAATCAGCAAACTCACTGTCAATCTGTTGCAGAAACCTAGTACAGCGGTGGAATATCTAGCAGCTCACCTCTCCAAAATCCACGGCCTAGACTGGCACCCAGATAGTGAGCACATTCTTGCCACTTCCAGTCAAGATAACTCTGTCAAGGTGAGTGGCCCCAAAGCGAAGTTGAGGAGCTGTGTTTGGGCGCAGCAGGGATATGTGATAGCACTTTGGAAGGAAGGATGCAGTGAGCTGATACACCCTGTATGTTTCATTAGCATGTACTTCCTGGGGACTTGAGTTAGTCACCTGGCTCCAGTGACCAGCAGGAGTGACGGTGTGGCAACTGACGAGACTTTATTTGTTCCGGTTTTCTTTCCCTCTCTGAAAGGAAATTAGAGACAAAAGCATTTAGAAAAGAAAAAAAAATGTTTCCTTAGAAAAAAAGTGCAAGGAAGTCAGATGTACACAGAGATAAAGTCAAGGAGAAAAATCCCACAAAATTGTTACAGATACCAAGATTAACAGTCTGTTCATGTTGGGAAGCCAACAATTTCCTCATATGATTATCATATCTGTAAAAGTTATAACCTCAGACCCCAGCCTCACAGGGATGGAGTTGTCTAGTGCTCAGGGTTTTCGGTTCGGTCACTCTGGTGTTTTTGGTTTATCTTAGAGTACGGTGTTTCCCATTTGTTCTCTTCAGCTGTGGCATGTGCTGTGCACCTTGATCAGATGGTAGCACAGGGGGCTCACCTCTGTTCCACAATTCCTCCTGGGGTCAGGTTTCCCCCTGGATTGAAATTTGACCTCAGAAATTTTAGCAGTTTTGTGATACCAGCGATTATTAATATATAATGCTTTATTGGATTTACATAGCTGTGTACAATGTTTTTCTAGACCCCATAAGCCTTACTACATAAAGATTAAAAGTTAGCTTCTGTCTGGAGATTTATAAATCCCCTCCTATTGCAGTGTACCTTTTTTTTTTTTTTCGGTCTTTTTGAAGCAGGGTCTCCCTGTAGCCCCAACTGTCCTGGAACTCATTATGTAGACCAGGCTGGCCTTGAACTCACAGAGATCCGCCTGCCTCTGCCTCCCAAGTGCTGGGACTACAGGCGTGCGTCACCATGCCCGGCTTGCAGTGTACTTTTATGTGCCAGAAATGACTTGTTTTTATTTGTTTATTGCATTTGGGTTTTTGTCCCAAATCTCTGTCAGCTTATCTCCCAAGTTCAGGAAACAGAAACTATCCAATTCTGCATTTGAAAAAGAGATTAGTAATACCCATAATGTTTGTTGTAAAGATTAGGTGAGATTAAAAGGAAAAGTTTTAATGTATGTCTGAAAGCAATAAGTGGTCAAGGCATGTTACCTGTTGTTAACTTTCTTTTAAATGTAAAATTAATACAGGATTGCTGGTCCTGGTGGCACTTGCCTCTAATCCTAGCACTCTGGAGGCAGAGGCAGGTGGGTCTCTGTTAGATCAAGGTCAGCCTTGTCCACATAGGGAGTTCCAGGCCAGCTGGGGCTACAGGGAGACCCTGTCTAAAGATAAAAGTAATGAAGGATCAAAACCTGTTATTTTCATCTTTCAGCTCCAAAGGTCCTTTAATAGGTAGGTGATCTGCCCCATGTGGTCCTGATGAAGTCTAGAGATTCTTCTGTAATGTTGGTAAATGTAAAAGGAAGGATTCTTTGTGTTTGTGCAGGTTATGGGAGTGGAACTAAAAATACACTATTGAAATGTTTCTTTGAAGGACAAAAGCAGTGTCTTTGAAGGCCATGCTTACTTCAATAGTTAAGCTTTAAAATGGCATTTATTTCACAGATTTTCTTTCTTTCTTATAGTTCTGGGATTATCGCCAGCCTCGGAAATACCTCAATATTCTCCCTTGCCAGGTGCCTGTCTGGAAAGCCAGATATACTGTGAGTGAAATATCCTACCTCTTGGTGTTCCATACACTAGTCTGGAACATTATTTTCTTTATGAAACAGTTTTCTCTTTTTGTCTTAGTGTGGAGTCTGGCAAATGCAGTGATGGTGTAGCACTTACATTTGGAAAGCTAGATGGGTGTCTGCATTAGAAGTGCTGACCAAAACCCCACAGAAATGCTAGACAGTGTGAAGGGATTCACCAAGGGTAGGACAGCAGGGTAGGGTAGAGAAGAGGGGCAAGGGCTGGAAGCCAGTGAACTGTAGAAAGAGCTTTGGCTGCAGAATTATAAGACCTGTGTGGGCCCAGCTCTACCATTTAATGTTTATGTGGCCTTGGACAGGATATTTGATTTGGAATAGTAATTTCTTCATGTGCAGAGTTGAAGGATAATTTTTACTCTGCCTTTAAATTTAAATTTTATTTTTATTTTTTTAAAAAATTTTATGTATAAGAGTGCACCTGCATGTATGTGAGTGCACCTGTGTTGTGTAATGCCACAGAGGTCAGAAGAGGGCTTCAGATTCCCCTGTAACTGGAGTTAAGGACAATTCGTAGCTGCCATGTGGATGCTGGGGATCGAACCTAGGTCCTCTGTAAGAGCAGTCAGTGCTCTTAACTGCTGGGCCAACTCTCCAGCCCCAAAATTTATTTTTAAAGTTTTTTTTTTTTCTGTGTATGTGTGTATATCTGTATGAGCGTCTGCCACATGTGTAGGTGTATAGAAGTCAGTAGAGTACTTGAGATCTCCTGGAGCTGGAGTTATAAGAGTTATTGAGGTACCTGACATGGTGCTAAGAATTGAACTCTGGTCCTCCACAAGAGCAGAAGTGCTCTTAATTGCTGAGCCATCTTTCCAGTCCAAAGATTTAATTTTTATTTTCATTTACGTCTGTGTGTGTGTATATGTATGTGTATATGCCATGTGTGTTTTGGTGCCTATGATGGTCAGAAGAGGGTGTTGGATCCCCTGGAGCCAGAGTTAGAGGGAGTTGGGAGCTGCTTGATATGGATGCCAGGAACTAATCTCAGGTCCTCTGGAAGAGGAGGAGCAAATGAACCATCTTTCTAGCAACCACTTTCTTTTTTTTATTACTGTGTTAAAATTCACCATTTAAAAAAATTTTATTTATTACTTTTATTTTTTATGTGTATGAATATATTGCCTGCATGTATGCAAACACACCAGGTGTTGTGCAATGCCCATGGAGGTCAGAAGAGGGAGTCAGATTCCTTGGAACTAGAGTACGAATGTTAGCCACGTGGGTGCTCTCTGCAAGAGCAACCAGTGCTCTTAACCACTGAGTCATCTCTCCAGCCCCTAAAATTTACTATTTTAAAGTGGACAATTCAGTGACATTTAGGACATCACAGTCTGCTTTCCACTTGAAATGTATACAAATGTACTTTATAAATGAGAAAATGCAACGAATACAGCAGGCTGTTTTCCACCTCCAACTATTTTTCCATGGCCACATTGATAGCTGCTAGTCAGAGATTAATACATTTCCTTTAATGTCAGTGTGAAAGCAAGCACAAGGGCGAACAAAGCTACTTTTATGTATCAGGCTGTTACCCGGGGACATTGTAGAGCAGAGAAGATAATTGGATATTATGTTGTTTTTGCATCTGGGATCACTTGCCAAGAAATAAGACACTGTTCTTATGAGCTGACATCTCTGGATTAATGTTTGCTTTAAAAAATAAACATAAGAGTTGAGGAGTGCTATCAGGAGGAGAGGAGAAGATAAATAAATGTGCTCCTGTGTGACTATGGCTTTTTCCCTTAAATAACAGAATCTAGTTATCAACCAAATTGGCCCCTTTGCTACCTCATAGATTGGTGTCCTAGTTTGTTTCTTCATTGCTGTGACAAAACACTCTGACCACTACCAACTTGGGGAAGAAAGGGTTTATTCAGCTTACATCTCCCAGGTCGCAGTCATCAGGGAGCCCAAGGTAGGAACTCAGGGCAGGAACCTGGAGGCAGGAGCTGG